CCATGATCTCCTAAATGTCACTACCTGCTATTAGTTACTTACCCTACCCTCAAAACCTATGTGCTTAACCATGTCACCACCTTTTCCATTTCACATGCTTCATCTTAACCTTCCTGCCTGTTCTAGGAACAATCTTTCAGATTTAGTTCTTTCCTTGTTTCACACAGGATATACCTATAATTGATAATTCTCATCCCAATTCAACTGAACACATACTATGAAAAGAAAAATTTCAGCTTCAAATTTACTCAGTTCAAAAGATATGGGTTGCCTACAGATGATGATTTTCTTTTTCTAGTTAAAAAAGTAAGTTAGAATAGTTGAGACCACATGGGAAAAAAAAAAATGAAATGCAACATGTTTTAACAGAAGTGAAAATTTACCTTCACCAATTTCAGTATTTTCATAGCAATTAATTCCGGACAATTGATAATTCCACCAAGAATTAAATTGGTAAATCCTGCAGAATAAGCTCTGCACCAGATCAGTATCCTAACAGAGTAAACAGCATTACTGCAATACAAGCAGTGGAAGCAGATGAAAGCTCCCAGTGAGCCAGAGTTAGCTCATGAGGCGCTGTGCAGACTGGGACAGGCCTCGTTGTCTTCTCTGCTGATCAAAAACAACCACTGTACATTTTGAACCCAATACCTTTTGAACTCGACTGACCCATCATCATCCAAATCAAAACTCCTATCTCAGCTACTTGAGATCTAAGTCACTGAAATAGCTTAACCAATTGGTCTTCACCCTCTGTGATGAAGATGTGTAAACAACCCAAGTCCCACGATTCTTAAATTTCTCCAAACCAAATGAATTCACGACTTGCAACAGATAAGGATGTATGCTCAGATTTCACAAACATGCTGTTAAGACAATAACAGCACTGAATTTATACAGGCCTGCTTGCTGCAACCTGACAGATCACAATTCAGAAACTCTTCCTCCCCAATTTGCCACCTACCCTCAAAAAACTTTCGAGGCATTAATAAAAAACAAGAGGCCAAACACACCAAAAACCTCCCAGACATGATTAAAGTTGCTATACACACAAGGTATATCTGTATTTTGAATGATAACACTCATACTAATTGCTGCTTCCTAAAGTTAAAAGAAGCAGCTGATCATTGGCAGGAGATAAGCTGTGGTAAAAAGAATAAAGCAGACTCCTGATTTGACTAGCAATCACTGCTCACTGTCACCTCCACATCTGTGTCCTACAACTGCCTCCAAGCCCAGGAGCCACAGGATACTGACACTTCATGCTTAACCAACTTCTCTGACAGTGTCTCAACACTGTATTTTTAACTCTTAAAGCCAGAGAATTCACTGCATTAAAAGCCTTACAAGACCAGGACAGTAGGCTACAGTTCTCTTGCTTTGTTCCCACAGTTAAGTTTGAACAGGAACTTGTCATAACTGTTCCTAGAAATCACTGGTTGCAATCCTTTCCAGCCAGTATTCTCAACTAAAAGGTGGTAAAAAGGGTCAAAACCCACTGTATTTGTGATAATACTGAAATCCCATGCACTACTGCCAAATATACACCATGGCTTAGAGTGAGGTCACTGATAAATTATCTAGCCCAGTACACAAGGCATTTTAAGATTCTACTTTGGACATGAAAGCCCACTGTACTTCAGCACTGCCAGGTAAATAAGAGTATCAGCTTATTTCAGAAGTCCTGAGAATCTGGAGCTAAGCACATGGCTTTAGTTAAAAAAAAAAAAAAAAAAAAATTAATCACAACACCTACTGTAAATGCAGCAATTCTAATGAACAGAAGAAATTAATAAAGTTCTGGAACAGGAAATTTTGTGACTAAAAGGCAGGGCACAGTTCCCTAGTGTATAGCTGGCAAACAATTAGGATACTGGTGCATGGAACAGTGAAAAGGGCCCTGTTTAGAAACACATAGTACAAGGACAGAAGTTCTTCTGAAAACACTAGAATCTGGACAAGTGGACCAGGTACTAACAGTTCTAATTCCTGCACAAAAGCATAAAGATAATTTGCATCTACTGTGCACAGTTCTTTAACCTCACCCTTATAAGCAGGGATGCTGCCTTTACCATGTGAACATGAATCTGGAGTGGTGAAGATCCTAAGCTGGCTCAATGATCCTTTGCTTTATTGGGACTTCAGCTTGAAAATGGCTTTCAAAAAAAATACAGACATGCCTAGACATACATTTCAATTCTATAAATTTAGAAATGCCACAGTGGCACAATACAAGTGTCTGCCTTCTATTTGCAGTATGGAAAATACATTTTTGAAAAATTTTATTAGTTGCATTCTCTGCTTTAGTCTGCTTCCATTCTGGTAGAAAATCATCATGTAGCACTCAATTTTAAGCTCATGTACAGTAAGAGTAATTCAAAAGCCACAGATTAGTTCCAGTGGATTCAAACTGAATTTAAAAAATGATGCAACATGGGCCATAAAACACATTTAATACCAGAACTAGCCTTTAAAAAGGATACCTACTTAAAAAGCCTGGGATAATGTTCCAGCACACCAAAAATAGTGCACAATTCCAAAAATGCACCAAAAGTCATCGTGCCTTTTATTTTCGGACTTATTCTATTAGAAGTGAAGAACTTACACTTGTGTATCAAAAGATCCAACAGTTTCAGAAGGTTGTCTAAAAAGTATCCCTGCTATGTAGAGAACTTTATGATGGTGGTAATGGGTGGTATGTAGAAATACATCTCTGAAAAGCATTTCCCTTAAAACAGAGTCACAAGCTCATAGTGTTAGAAAGCTACTTACACTGGACAGAGAAGCAACAGCCTTTTTTCTCTTCAGCATAAACATTTTAGCCTGTTGTGTCTCTCTAGTTTTTGAAATGAACTGTATCTACAAAATCATACTCAACTCTGGTGCCCTTCACTCTCTAATACAGGAACAAATCAAAGCACTCAAGCAGGCACACACAGCCCCATGTCACTGCCTGCTCTAGCAACAGCTCCGAGGAGCCTGGAGGTAACTATAAAGGGCTTATGTAAAATTTTGGTGGAGTTCTGGCCTATGAATCACATAACCTCAAAATAATTTATTACTACTCAACACCTCTGTGAGTTTCCTCAAGACTAAAATTTTCCTAGACTTATCCCATTCCTACCCCTGTGCAACTATAGCAATACAACTTTTCAAATTTTTAAACACATTGTTTAGTTTGTATTCTGTGAATTTATTTAGGTTGCATTGCAAAACTCTGCAATACAACCAAATTTCAGAACCTAAAAATACACTAGATCTTGATTTTATGCAACTCAACCAATGCTCACGATCATTTTAAAATCATATCTGATTCAAAACTGCCAAGGGACACGTTCCAGGCTCAGTGGTGAATTTAAGAAAGAAAAAGCTCCTTTTACTTCAAACCAAGTTTGTTTTACACCAATACTGACAAAACATTTTTAGCTGTAATCTAGAAGCTGTTGATGCTGAATAGTACAGATGCCTCTAAGATCAAGTCGTAAAAGTGAGCTACTTTTAGAAAAGAATCCAGTTGAATAAGCCTTTTTCCTTCCAACTTCAGATGTCATCTGCCTTAGCTGTGCAAGCCATACAGAATTACAGAGTGGGTCAGGTTGGAAGAGTCCACAGTGGGTCATCTGGTCCAACCTCCCTGCTCAAGCAGGGTCGTCCTAGAGCACATTGCACAGAATTGCATCCAGACAGTTCTGGAATATCTCCTGTGAGGGAGACTCCATGACCTCTCTAGGCAATCTGTTCCAGTGCCTGGTCACCCCCTCATAGTAAAGAAGTTCTTCCTCATATTCAGGTGGAACTTTCCGTGCATCAGTTTCTGCCCATTGCCTCTTGTCCTACTGCTCAGCACCACCCAGCAGAGTCAGGCTCCATCCTCCTGACACCCTCCCTTCAGGTACTTATAGACATTGATGAGGTCTCCTCTCAGTCACCTCTTTGAGGCCAAACAGGCCCAACTCCCTCAGCCTTTCCTCACAAGAGATGCTCCAGGCCCTTACTCGTGGTTGTCACCTGACATGCAGCCTGTTATACCTCAGTGTTCATGCTGATTGCTGCTTTTCCTTTCTTAGATCATTGTAATTTCTTAAAGAGGACTTCTAAAGTGACACACAAAGCTGCCTAAGATATTAATGCTTCAAAACCTTGAATTCCCATCTTCCATTTTTAAAGTTATATATTTCTCAATTGACAGCAGGTCAGTGACAATCTCCATGCAGGAAGATTCTTCTCTCTTAAAGCTGTTCCAGCAAAATGCTTGCAACTGAGTTGAACAGCTACAAGAGGCAAGTGGTAGAAGTTTTCTTTAGTCTGTTCAGTATGATTCAAAGGAATTGCATCTGATGTGCCTTTTTTTTTTTCTTGTATTTGATATTTAAGTACCTGAAGTTTCTTCTTTCAATGAATACAAGAGTTTGCCCTTTCTTAAAATAAAGTGTTCCCTGGTTAGAGGTTTGTGGCCTTTCAGTAGCTGCTTTAACAAAGGACTAACTGCTCTGTTAGAGGGCTTCCTCCCCTACTTTTCCTTTTTTTTTTTTCCTCCAGTGCTTTTTGCACTAGAAGCTTGATATGAAGGATGCCTCTGTATCAACCTAAACCAGGTCAAGTTATTCAATGTGAAGAAAGAGGGTTTTATTCATGCCTAAAAAAGTTGCATATTGCTTTCAGGAAACAAAAGAGGACACTTGATCATCATTCATTAAGAACTGCAAGTAAAATGAATCATATATCTAAAGGTTTAGCACTTATCTGCCTAGGACCCCTAAAGAAGAAAAAGAAAATAACATGGAATACTTTGCCTATTGCATCTCTAGTGAAAATGAAGCTGTTGACTAGTCTAGACAGTTGTGATGCCTAACTTTTAAGACACTAAAGAAGAGATTAATTTTATCTCAACTGACCAAACAACAGCACTTTGTAACTGCCTGGTTTGCAGCAAAGAGAATGACCTTCACTCTAACCAGTGAGTTCCAGTTCCCACCAGTTAGGGAAATTAAGGATTTTTAAACCAGTTAGACACTGCCTGGCCAAGTTATTCATTATGTACCTTGTTCCCTTAGGCTCTTTTTCAAGTTCTGGAGAACAGAGAAGAAAACTGTTATGCCCACTCTGTGGAACATTTCAGTACAGCACCACCTTTTTTTTTTTTCTTCATTTAAAGTCAAAATGCAAAATGCGTTTCCCCCCCCCATTCTCATCTTACAGCCACCTCAGTTGGCAGACATTGGTTTAGAGAGAAGAGATTGGACTTCTGGTGAAATAAAGGACAAGTGCAAAAGTTCACTTGGTCAAAGTAAGCGTGGAGAAAAACCCAGTATAGAGCACAAGTCTGCCAGGAGAACTTCAGAGGTAAGTTTATACAATGGGAGGGGGAGAAAGAGAAAGGGGGTTTTCTGCTCACACTCAACTGATGAGTACATTTGAAACTGAGCACTGTCTTACTAAGTTTTTTGCAATGAGTGTTTGGATTTTTATGTTAGTGGTAGATATGGAAGAAGGAGAGAAATCTGCATAATAAACCCACTAAAGACACTTATACACCCATTAACCATCTTTTCACTAGTCCTGGGACTAGTCGAGCACCTAGAAAATTTAAGCCTTGGGACATCCAAGTATTAAAGATTGAGCAGTCAGTACCTCTACATGCTTTTAAAAATCTGTGCAGCAAAAAGCAAGTTTAAAGGAAATACAGTGTAAAAGTAAAAAGAGATCTATGCTACATCTGTGACTGGTAACTGCAACACAAACAAGGAAAAAAAACAAACTAGCTTTTGAGGCAACAGCTTGGATTTCAGCAGTCACACCAGAGGCTGAGGCAAAGCAGCTGAAGTTACTGCAGTTAGTTATGCCTTCACTGCATTGCTTTCCAAACAGACTAAATTAAGAAATCATACTTAGGATGTCTGTTCTATAAATATCTCTGTTTCCATTTAAATGCACATGTAGCCCACTTTAAATATCTCCTGTGACAAATTGTTTAATTGAAATATGCATGGAGCAGGTAGAAAAAAAAATACCAGTCCAGTCTCTAGAGAGGAACAAAGTAAGACAGGGAAATATTCCCAAATTTTACCAAGATCTTACAGTACTTTTTTTTTGCAAGCAACTACATAACAGAATTACATATCTTGATTACATTTTGTGTTGGAAATGTCTGTATTGCTTTGACATGGGGCAGAATCGTTAAAAAAGAAAAAGAGGGGATTCATTCCCAAATCTGGTAGCGTATCACACAGACAGGTGTGCCTGCACAAGAGGGCAGAGGAGCAAAAATAAATCACAGGAGCAGGCAAGACTACCTTAAAAATAGAGCAGCTTCTTGTCAATTTATTGCAGGCTCAGATTATTTTTTTTCTGAGGCCAAATAGGCAGCAGTAAGTGCCTGCTGGATGCATTCAGTCCCAGCTAAAGAGACATACCGCTTAAACCTCAGAGACTTCCCCACCCCCCAGTAACGTAAAAATCCCAAGAGTTGCAAATTCTTTAAGTACACACTACTAATTTATTTGGAACCATTTCCAAAGAACATCAGAGGATTGCCTCAATGAAGAAAACAGAGGGGTTTGAGACAAAACTGCAACATTATGATTTAATGAAAAAAAAGAGGTGTCTCTCCTTTATGTTTGAGAGACAAGACATGCAGATCTCTTTCCTTTCTAAAGATACTGCTAGTGAAAGGGTCTGGACTGACTATGCAAGAGGATGCAAGTACAGGGGTCAATATTCTGTGTCAAACTGCTGACTTCCTTACCAGAACTGGAAAACAAGGTTCAGGAAAACACCTTGAGCCTTACCAATTCTGGACAGTTGTTTTTTTTTAAGCCAGGTACTTACCCACATTATTCTATTGAAAAGAAAAATTCTTCTAGATAAAGAGAGAAAGAATGCCAATTTAATTGCACTTCTGTTTCTTGGACCAGAGAGAATTCAGGAACTTTATCCTAGCACTACTTTAAAGGAAAACAGAAACTTCACAGTGAGACAATGTAGGCAGTACAGACAAGCATCTTGCGAACAGCAGACTCATGCAGCAGTGCTATCGTCCAAGATGTGAAGCAACAATAAGTGCCTGGGCCAAAAAATGTCTCATCTCTGGAAGGAACTTCTGTCTTTAGATCAGAATTCTAGATCTTTGCTTATCAAACCATATTATTTAAACAAAAATCTGCTTCCAACTCTGAGGGAAGACCCTGAACCAAAGAGGTAAAACACAACCCAGTACTCTGAGAAATCCTAGCAAACACCTCAACCCAATGCTGCAGTATCTGGGCATCAGCCAGAGGAATCCTTATCACAAAAGGTGTAAGGTTAAAATGCAATGCAGCTAAAGGCACCCCCTAAAAAAGGAGACCAACGCACAGCCAAAATGTGAGATAAGAATATAAACTGGTATTAGCAAGTCCAGTTCTGAGAGGACATCCTGGGCATTGAGACACCTTTTACAGGATCCTGTCCTAAGCAATAGCAAGGATTTAAGCTAATAGAGCAACTCTGTTTTTTACTAAGCATAACAGTTACTACAAAGAGGGTGAGAGAAATCAATTAATTTAAATATATATTGCCTGTTGCACATTTTAATCTGATTGCCTTTGGGGTTTCAGTGGTTTTTAAGCTCCCATATGGTGTGATCTTTCATGACTTTCAACAGTAGACCATTCTTATTGTTCTTCCCTCTGATCTCTGTGTATGCATCCAGATAAAACAATCCTTATAACTTAAGGCACAGCAGGACTATAGCTGCCACCTCAAAACATACCTAAACATGCCTAGGAAAGTAGCAAATGAAGGGGTTGAAATGGAGATGCTAAACATCTTCCAGAAACCACATTCACCTTCCAACATACATTAGAATGAAATGTGTTTGTAAGCAGTGCTGGATTCCCCTACGTAGGTGTTTTCTGGCTCTACTTTGTTGTTGTTAGTTCACACACTGTACTTTCAAGTACTAAATTTCTCAACAGGTTCACCCTTCACCCACAACTGTAGACATGGTCTAAACTTCTGAAGTCTGCTTTGAAATGAAAGAAAATCTTATATTCTTTAACAGGGAGCAAAGGACAAGCGCAGAAAACTATATGGCTCTTTTTCACCTCGGTTCACAGAGCGGTAAAAAGCACGCCAGGAGTATTTTATTTCACATTCATGACACAGGTCTGCTTTCCACATTATAGAACACTGAATTCTCCATTATAGTTAAGACAGGTTTGTGTTTGAATTCCAGATAATACTGTCTTTTCCTTCATTGAAAGCGTTCCTTGAAAGTTATTCAAGTTTTGTTTGTGGTTGATTTTGTTTTGTTTTAAACAAACTGCTTTGCAACTACAATGGAATAAACAAACCCAAATATATCAAAGCACGGGGCCTTTCATCCTCTGCCTAGAAGCACATAAATGTACATTTCATTTTCTCTACCTTCCTGTCCTTCCCCCCTAAGTAAATCTTAGAAGCTCTCAAGCAGCAAACGAAACAGCAGGAAAAAAGTCAACAATTAAATTCAATCTGTGAACCAGCAGCAGCAGAGGACAATAGAAGGTGGTGTTGGACAGGCCAAAAAACTACCAGTGTTTCTCATCCACTTAGAATTTCAACAGTCAGCCGAAAACAATGGGGAGAAAGGAGCATCAAGCAAAATAAACAATCGGTAAGTTGAACCCTGGTAAGACTCTACACAACTTTTTCTGCTACAAGCCTCTACAAAGCTTTCCAATTCCTAAGTACTTCAAAGGCCAGGGAAAAGACTTGGGAATTTCCAAGCTGAGATCACCTCAACAGCTGATTCTCACCAACAGCCTAGTTCCTAGCACTTTTTAAGGAATGGGCAGGACAGTTACATCAGGCATCAAATATGAGAAAAAGTGCCCATCCAAATTATACTGCTTTGCCTCTGGCCAGTGTACATCTATAAGCAAAGTAAAAGGTACCACTAAGACTGTTTTGGTAAGATACTCCAGTTTGCTTTCACTGATCCAAACCACCTTCAGATCAGATTATGCTGTAAGCTGAGTAAAAGCTAGACTTCAGCCTAATTCTTCATGTCTATTTAAAAAATTACAGATAAATCCACCAACATCAAAAAAACCCAAACAAAACCACACCAACAAAAAATCCTAACAAAAACAAATCCCTCTGTGTGTGTATAAGTGTATATAAAAACTTACTGTAGCATCTGTTCAAAAAAAACCAAAATTACTATTTATGCCTTATTTCTTCCTCCTTTAGTGCTCCTCCAGTATTTCCCTTCAGACAAGGGACAGTCTTCTATTTCACCTGCAGAATTCATTACTTCTGATGTGAAGACCCTTCTTTCCACAGCTCTAAGTCACTAATTATATTTGCCTTTTATAGTGTGAGGCATCAGGAATAAGAAAGAACTTTATTTTTCCAAAGCCAAACAAGTTCTTTTTTAAATCTGCAACTTCTCCAAGTTAATACACACAAAAAGACTTAAGAGGAATTCATTCGTGTAACAGAGAAAAAGGTAAGTCTGGGGGTTTTTTTCCTTCCTTCACACACACGCACAGAAATCCAGAACAAGTTTCTCCTTCCCCAAGCAGCCACCTCACTACTTGAATGCTCAGATCAGAAGGTTCAACATGTTTGTTTTACTGCACTGGAGTAGTCCTCACAACACTGCTGTGGAGACCACAGAGTAAATCTAGCCACAACCATACTGCACATTTCTAGCACTATAGTTCTGCTTCCTATATTCAAGGTCTGTAGGTTCCCCTTAGCTTAGTCAGAGGGGCCAACTCAAATTCCTTGTTTGCCTTCTCAGCCTTATTTGGTTTCACCCACAATGCCTCCAGCACCACCACTACACTTACCAGCACTTACCTTCTGCTATTTATCTAGTTTTTCCACTGCATTGTTTTAAGAAGAACCCCCAATACACTGAGTTGCTGAGGGCCACTCAGAATTCAAATAATAAAAATCACTTTGGGTAACAATTTATGATCTGCCCTGGCAGGCAGCTAAGCCAAACTGCTCTGAATCTGCGATCCAGCTTTATTACAGAGAACAGTTACTAGCTAATCTTCAAGACTGAAATAGTTCCACCATCTCCCCAATGGCTTAGAAAATAATCTCTTATTATTCTAATGTGTTTTGTTGTTTGGTTTGGGTTGCTGGTTTTTTGTATTTTTTTAAACCCTATGTAATACCTTCTACTATACTGAAAGAAGAGTATGAACAGATGCAAAATTTTATTTGCACTCACATATTTTACACAGCCTTCCGACAGATGTTTGGTGAGTTCAACCATGCTGTAACTTCCCACCCACTCCAAAAAAACCCTCTAGTCAGCTTTTTTTTTTCCCCTATACACACTTGCACAGTACTGGTGCTACCCAGCTGTGCTCCTTAGCTGCTGACAGTAGTAGCTTTAGACTCAGTAGCGAGGAGGGACTTACACTGGTCACTCGGCGGTAGATCTGCGCAGCATTTTGGCACTCGGAATAAGGATACTCAGACGTGGCCATCTCTAGCATACACATCCCAAAAGCATATACATCAACGGATTCATCATATTTCTCCTCATACATCTCGGGGGCCATGAACTCTGGGGTACCTTAAATTAAAAGAACGATTCAGACTCTAAATGTCTCAAAGCGAGCAGAGGCTGCTGGCGTTACTCACCGCAGGAGGGAGCGGATGGGCAGACCTGTGAGACAAGAGAAAGTGGAGGCAAAAAGAAGAGGGAGGAAACCCTTAGTGACTCTGTTGCATCAACACACTCTGTGAGTCTTCCATTGCAAGGCCTTTGTGGAATAAGAATGGCGTGAAAGGACTGCCGCAAGTCCTGGCTTAGGTATGTGAGTTGATACGAGTATCAAAACAGACTGGATTAGCCTGAAATCAAATGGGAGGGTTGGGGATAAGAAAAGGGAATGCTGTAGACTAGCCATAGGCTGCAAACCAAATACTAAGGAGAGTTAAGACACTTACCTTTTCTCCCTGTAAGAAAGGAGGCGCATTAAACCTTGTTTCAAAAAATTACCCGACTGCCCTCTGCTGCAAAAGAAGTAGTACTGGTAAGAGCCCACAGCTAGTCTCTGACCTGGTGCTCTCCATCTACTTTTTGAAGTAGAATGGTTCAGGTAAGGCCTTGCAATGAAAAACTCCATTGTTACAAATATAAATCTCCATGAAAAGAGGATAAAAGGTAATTTTCTGCAAAGGCCACTCACCAGAGCCCTTTTCTTCATATACTTACCTTCCCACCTGCAGTATATTTATAGGCCTACTGCAGATACAGGCATTAGTGAGGGACATCCTACAGTCAAAAATACTCAGAAATACAGAGAGATTGAGTTACAGGCATAGAGCGTGAGATTCAACAAGTCCCATTTAAATAGTGTGCAGAAAATTATTGCCCAGTGAAGCATCACAGCAACCCCTCTGTAAACAAAGAGGCTGCATTGTTTGATCAGATTTACTTTAAGCCAGAGATGTAAGTTTGCTTTTTGTAAATTTAAGCACAGAATTATTTCCTGCAGACACCAGATTCAAGACAATTTACAGATCATTCTATAGCCACGTTGTTTGTTTTCACCACACTAAACCAAAAAAAAGAGAAAGTAATTGCAGCCATTTATTTAAAGGCTAACCATTACTAGATAACTAGATGGTAATTTTTCCAGTGATAAATTTGAGAATATGACAAGCATGCTTCAGAAATTATTATTTTTTTTAAACTATACTTTGCTTTCCTGTTAATATTTTGACCTGGTTAAGAAGCAGGAAATATTTCAGCGACAGCTTGCAGGACAATTTACAGGTATAGACCATTGATCCCATCTAGGAATCTGGCATAGGACTGTTGAGTAATGCTGCATTTTAGCAAGCTCTAAATATTGAGAGTGAGAACAACTTCATTCCCTGCAGTCTATTCACCCAACTATAAAAACAAAGCTGATAAAACCAATTCTTTTAAGAATTCACAAGAAAGACCCTTGTTTCTGATCACTCACAATCTGTAAGAGGTTTAATATGAACCCCTGGTGACAATAAAAAAAAAATTTGGCTCTAAAAACTAATGCTACACTGAATACCAAAATGTTGTTTGGTCACCAAAATGCATTTGTACACTTCTTGAAGCATCATCATATCAAAGCCGAGATTTATAAGTAGTCAAGAGTGGTTTTATCAACAATGTTGCACTAAACTGTTGGGCAGGACAAGGACTCTGTATTCCAAAATACTTAATGTTAATATACAAATATCAAAAGCACAACCAAAATTTCAACATGTCGTCGCATCAGGGACACAGAATGACCTCAGCAACCAAGAAACAAAGCCTACACATTTTTTGGCTTTGACCCTGTACCTTTGCAACCATGTTTTTATAGAAAGCTCTTAAAAGGCTCTGCAGCCTCCAATACAGGAGAGGCTTACCTATCACACTTTTGGCAAAAGAAGCTCGTTTCAGGGTTGCCAGACCAAGGTCTCCAATCTTGACTGATCCAGTGGGGCCAGTAATGAAGATGTTGTCACATTTTAAGTCTCTATGAATAATGGGAGGAGTGCGTGTGTGTAGAAATTGTAAGCCTTTCAGTATCTGACGGCACCAGCTTCGTAGTACTTTAATTTTCATCACTTTAAATCTTTTCAAATACCTAAGGAAAAAAGTAACAATAGGTTACCAACTTAGTAGATTCTGCTAACAGGCAGTAGATTAAACTATACCATTTGGTGTTTGGAAGCAAAGAAACAGTAATTAAAGACATGCACAAATTTAAACTTCACCTTCTATTTTAAAATCTACCTGGGCGTTTCAAGACTTCAGAGGAGCTAAAGATGATTCCTCCTCCTAAAACCCACCTCCTTTTCTTCTAGACAGGGGACTAATGATTAAAGATAAATATGAAAAGCCTAATATATAGCTAATAACTCATCTGCATACAAAATCATCCTATGGTAATTAGACAGTTGGCTTGCTAAGTTTCAAGGCATTGCTTCCATGACAGAGAATTCAAGGTTCATGACTTACAGCAATACTTTATCTATTTAATTGCCTAAACAGTTACAACCTTTACCTTGATTTATTAGAACTGGGTGGGGAGGTGGATCATTAGATGCAAAACACTAATAACAACAACTAAGTACAGAGTTGGGGCAAGCTGCAAGAGCTCTGAAGTCATTATTCCTTCCTTCTCAGCAGCAGTCCAAGCATTCCGGTCAAAGTTTCCATATTACACTTTAAATCTGCTTCAAATTTACTTGTGGAGTTGTCAAGCAAATGGGAAGTTCTTGGAGATTGCTTCCCTGGTGCATGACAGGGTTTGATCACCTGAATCTGACTGGTACTGCTCACCACTTCAAAACTACAGACAGCCACGGACAGGGCAGAGAAATCTTTAAAAAGGCTCTGCCAAATAATTGAGGTGGAAGAGTTCATACCTAAAGTCAGTACTCCCTCACAGTTAGAATGTGACCCAACACCTTAACAGTTCTATCTTGCCACACTTTGAAATCCCATTTCAGAAGAGTCAAATTTCATACCAAAAATATTTTCCAATGCTTGTAACCTAAGACTGTGATCTTATTCTATTACTTAACTTCAACAGATTAGAGATGCCACAAGGTGAATAACCTTATGACAGCATTCAAGTGCTTTCCAGCAGTGTTTTCTCACAACTTCTCTTTGGGTAACACAATTTGAAGTGAAGAGCTGTTTTCTTCCTTTTGAAGAAGTACAGGTTGAAATACATTCAGGGGAAAGGAAGTAGCATGCTCTGTAGAGCAAGGACTTTATTCTTATTCAGCCCGTGTTACTCAGTCAAAGTCTCAGATAAAGACCAGTTCCACAGTATTGCAAGACTGGTAGTAAATTCTGTGACCAGCATGGAGTCTAGCAACTACAGTCTTCAACTAACAGCAAGTCATGTTCAATTATTCTGTGGTACTGTTCAGTTTACTCTGCATATCCACTTAATCAGGAGATAAAGTCTAGATGAAATCACTTGAATCATTGCCAACATAAAAATGCAGTGTATTAATCCCTTTTACTTTCATTTCTCCAGTTCAAAAGAAGATCTGGAAACTCAAGTTGCTAGCAATAATCCTGCTGTGAAAATAGATCTGTAAAAGCAAGTGGGACACAGTTCCAGAGGAAATCAAGTCTTAGAATATAAAGACAGGTAGGGAAAAAGCCAAGCCAAGGAAGGAGACAAACTGAAGGAGGTTCTGAATCACATCAGCTACCACTTGAATTCTTGCTATTGACACAACCCTCATTCATCTCTCTCGAGCCTGATCCAAAGATCACATGGTAGGGGCACTTCAGTTCAGCATCTGGAATCCCTAATTACATTCTTGGTTTCAAATATGCTTGCCTACTGCCAGCTCTTCATTGCTAAAGGACCTGGGTCCAACCATCACCCAGCATCCCACAGTGCTGCCATCAGTTTTCCACAACACTGTCCTGAACTAAGTCACATGCCACTTAAGGCAGAAATCAATTTAAAACAGAAGCACATATAAATACATAAAGATACACAGACAACCCTACTAGCCAGTATGTTTTCAATTTTCCTAGTATCATTGGATAACTCAGTCTTGAAGAGACCTCAGGAGGTTTCTAGTCTAAGCTTCTGCAATTAGAATTACCTACAGCATCTCAGCTCAAGGAGCTACAGGAACCCCTACTGAATTAGCAGAGGTAGTTATGAAGGTATGTGCCCTACCAGAGAGCTGACACATTCATTTAAAGTGGATCAGGAACACAACACTAGACACACTTTTATCCAGACCTTAGACAGAACCAATGGCTGAGACCTAAGTCAGATTAAACACTGTTGTCTTCATTAACAGTATAATTAAAATTTCAAATTGACAACTCCATTTTTCCCAATATTTTAATTCCATGACAGCATACAATATCAGAAAGCAGTCTTATTCTTTACAAAATTCAGTTGTAAAACTTTTCCATTCATATACAGAAGTTTGGGCACTTTCCCTCGTGCAAAATTAGAAAATTGCTCAGACAGCATCTGAAAAGAAGCAGTCCACAAAATTTTAACATTATTTCTGGGTATTTATGTATCAATGTATACAAATACAAAAAACCACGAGAGAAAATTTACTTTAAGATATCTCTACACTTCATTTTTTTACATCAAGTGACAACAATATCTATGTCCCAAGTCTCAAAATGAGGAAAGTAACACTTTTATAAAATGCAGGTAATGTAAAAATACTGAAAAAAAACAAGATATGCAAGTAATATTCGGTCAGCCAAATATCATAAGCTAACACAAGTGTGCAGTGTAGATTTAGGAATGTGACACAAACATGTGAAATACTTAATGATATTAAATTTGGCACACCAGAAATTTCCCATATATATAGTTTACCTGTCAAGTCTCAAGTGAAGTGGGCAAGCATAAACTAAATCACAATTATAACACAAGCTATGCAAGAGTGGGGAAAAAAACCCACCCAGAACTCTACAGCTTAAAAGATCTTTGATTAAACAAACAACCTGTTACTTCTTTCTGGATAAAATAAAAATACTTTCATACTTCAAAGCACAAAATAATCCTAGAGACAGCAAATCTGAGGTATTTCGTCCTACCAACACCCTACTTCATAATTGCCTATTACTACTTTATCATCTCACTTATGCCACCACATAACAAGCCAATCCAAATATTAAAATCTGTGAGAAGGATAAAGGAGTAAGAAAGGCAGGAAAAAAATTAAATCTAACACTATATGTTTAGCATAAAATTAAGTATCTTTATTTAAAGGCATCTTTACAGAGCTGCTTACTTTTTTACTGCTCTGAAAACAGCACATGAAGCAACAGATCTATTATTTTATCTGAAATACCCTAAACAACCTTCAAAATATCTTCACTGAACATAAGGATAAAGAATGTTGTGGTATCCTTAGTCCTCCAGTACTATTTTAAGAGACAAACACTTCCCTGTAATTGCAGTCCAGACTCCCAAAGAGCCATTTTTTTTCCTCTTTAAGAATGTCCATTTGTGGCTATCAATAAGCATCATAAAAACACAAGACATTCATGGGCTATTTTAACCAAATAGATGGCAAATTGTTTCCAGCTCCCACAGCCTGCTTACACATTTAGGATTTGAATGCCTCTCCAAGACTTAAATGGGCACTGAAAGAAGACAGCGACCCACAGCCCGTTTATCCCAAAGGCTGGTAGTTCTATTTCCAGCAAGGAAGGGTGACTGGGTGCCGGCGGTGTGAGCTCTCTGTGAGCCCCCGCGGGCCCCGCGCACCACTAGAGGCCCTCGCAGCAGCTCCATTTCCTGCACTCTGCTTTTAACTCTGCCTTAAAGACACACCCAGGGTCCCTCAGCTGCCTCACAGGTTGGAGCTGCAGGCACCTGCATACTTTGATTTTTGTTAGGTACTGCTTCACCAAGCTTCAGCTAAACAAATAGGTAAATAGGTGGTGATTTTTTTTTCCTTTTTACATATTATTTGTACTGCTCTAACACCCAAAGCCTCCCAAAAGAGATGCATTAATTCGTACTTTGAACTTTACAAACCACCTCATGCTAAATGGAAGGCAGCTGGAGAGGAAAAAGAAAAATTCTGAGAAGTGAAAAGAGAGTATTGTCTTCCTGAGGTCTTAAAATCCAGAAGTTTTCTGTATGTGCTTACTAGGACATCACAAGGAAGAATCTGACAAGCCTCTTTAACAAGAATGTTCCTACAGGGCGTTAGCCCTCAGCAAAAGGGCTCTATTCTTACGTATTCTGAAATATCATCTATTTCTAGGGCTCTGATTCTGTGCTAATGAAGCTTAAATACTTTGACATGTCTTAATTTACTTACGTTTTCAGTGTTCCAGACGTCATTAGTTCCGTCACAAGAACAATACACTTTTTTCCTTTGACTGTAGACTCCCAGGAATCATAGAACCTGACAATATTGGGGTGCTGAAGCCCTTTCAGCATCCCAGCTTCCTCTTTAAATCGTTGTCGCTCTGACTTGGACAGCTTCCGATCCTAATGAAAAAGAAAAGGTACATCAGAAAGCTTTGCTTAAATTTTCTTATTCAGAGAAGCAGCAACTTGAAAAACACTTGAGTACATCCAGGAATCAGCTTTCTTAAATGCCATTTAGCTCACAATTATTTTTAAAATATGCTATCTTGAGCACATTCTATTACAGTCTTTTTACAATATATTCTTCCTTACAATCCCATTGCTCTTGGAGTTAAGAATTGCAAGTCTGTAGATTAACTCCTCCTCCTGTCTCCTCTTCCCTTACTCTTAATAAATTTAGTCATTGCCTTGAGCTGGAAAGGGCATGTACTGTTTTGAACATTTCGGTGTTTGAGGATAAAATCAGATCATTTAAAGCATGTTGTACACAACAATAATCTTCCATCATTCCTATGTATCCAGCCCACTGGTAACAGATGGCATTAGCCCTCCATACAGGGGGTAGAGCATCAAACCTCTCTAACATACAGTATGTACGTATGTACATACTGTAAATAATCAAGTGAATGAGTTGGTGTTTCTTTGATTAAAAGCAGAAACTCATGATTGAGCAAGTTTCCTGTAATCTCACATCAACAAAAACATAACTCCCACTAGAGACAGAAAGCAACCTTTTGGCCAGAAGGCAGACCATGAAAAAGCATTCCTGGACAATACTACTGCATTACCTCCCAACAACTGGCTATCAGATGTTGCCAGGACTCCAAGCTATTACCAGAATAAGCAGCACATATCACAGGGAAGACAGTCTCCTTGTGCCATTCAGTGTTCTCAGCTCACCAGTGCATTACCAACACACTGGCTGCACCAGTCAGATCCACTGACTGACGTAAATTGGATCCATATGCAGTTTGCATTTAAAAAAACCATTTCAAGATATCCTTAAAGCCAAGAATTTTAGAGTCATTGTTTCTAACAGTTATTTAGCAACAACCAGTGACCTATTTGTCAAATCTGAGTAATAAATTTAAGTCACTTGAGTTCGCATTTTCTTTTCAATTAAAAGGAGGCTGCAAAACCATGCTGGGTTTACTTACAGTCCTGCTGTCCTCCAGGCAGTAACTCTTCTTCCTTTGCTTACAGGTAAGGTGTTTTCTCGATACAATTCAGCCATGCTAATATCTAAACCATTCTATATTCACTTAGATCATTAACTTTTCCTAAGAGGTTCACAGAGTATTCTGGGGCATGGACAAACTTCATTTCCAGATGAAATGCCAATTTTCAGAAGTGCACAAACCCCCCGGGGGAAAGTTTGAAAATAGGTTTGAAATTATCTCAGAAATCAGGTTCTTATCGGTGTCTATGAATGTCAATCACTCACATGCCTTTACAATTCCTAGGAAGATGCTAAATCCTTAAGTCTCACAAATTTAATCTACAGATATCAAAAGCATTCAATCCTGCAACTATTTCACGCTGCAGAAATCAGCACTACCACCCCTTCTCACTCCTTCGTAAAGGTATTTGCAAAACTTTCCTATAAAATGTTTGCAGAAACACTCCACCAACGTTTGAGTATTTCTGCCTGCTTAGGTGTTGGGGGGGTTAATATGTAATTAGTACTTCCATTTGAGCTGCCTTACCCATCTAATAGCTTTCCTTTAATTAACATAAACAGGGCTGCACAAATTCTGTTCAAAACCACTCAATTCTAACTGCTTCCAACTGCTGTGCAACAGAAAAGCAGTGAGTTGCAATACATACAGCAGACCATACACACGTGCTTCTGAGAGACACTCAATGCTTCAAACGACACAAAAATCACAAAACCATTATCTTACAGTAAAATAAAGCAGTATTTTCAGTCTCTGCACTTGACCCATGTAATCCACATAGGACTATTTTATAGCTATAAGTCCAGCTGTTGTATATGGTCATCACACAAAAAAGGCTGCAGAAATTACTTTTATGTCACTTTTAAGTAGTCACTCTGAACACCTACATTCATTTTTGTCTGAAACCTAGATTTTAGATACACATCTGGATTAAATTTCCTTTATTCTGTGTGCACTACCAAGTTATCTACCACAAATACTACTAACCAGTTTTAGATTACACTCGACTTAACGTCAAGTGTATTTCATTTCATTCTCATCTTAATCTGTGTAACCTCATCTCCCCTAAGGGCTTGACTCAGCCTCCCCACCCCTGTACTACTGGCCCTAAATAGAAACTAAGTGCTAATCACCCTTATCAATGAACAGCCTCTTAACAGGCACCCACATTTTGACTCATTTCTCTCCCTGGTCACATCTATGGCAGCATCGTGTTCCTGCAAACACAGCTGTGACATTTAACACGGACACTCAACACTTCAGTGCTGACATTAAAAAAACCACCAAGACAGTGACAATGCACTAAGTAATACAGCCATTCTTTCAAAGTCACAGTGCCCCAGTGATCTGGGACAAGTCTGGACAAAACACAGGCCAAAATCTTTCACCCAGGAACACAGTCATGTTTCTGCAACCAAGGAAACCCCGCACCCTTCAGTACATACTGCAGCAGCAGAAGGGAACGTTAAACAGAGCTGGAAGAAAAAGACAGAAAGGCCACTTGTTTCCTAACACCAGCAATGCATATTACCTTTTACTACCCTCATTTCCTTGGACACACAGCCCATACCCTCATCCAGAACAGGTTTTTATATTCTTTCCCTAAAGGAATACTAATGCTAGGTTACAGAAAAGCGTGAATATACTTTAAAAGAACCCACAACCCTAGCATTCAGGAAAACACTAGATCTCATGTGCAGATTCATTTTGTTGGTATAATCATACACACAATGACTTGGTATAGTTGTACAAACTACATTCTAATGCAGCTTGCAAACAGTTGGCCTGCAGGCTAATGTACAGTTTAAAAATGACAAGTACACTTTCAAAATCTGAGTATTCCATTCATCAGAACATTAAAAAAAAATATTAGACAGCAAGATCTCCCAGGCTGTGTAGAGATGGACTAGAGCACAGCACATCCATAATACCACATTTTGGCATCCTTTGGGCTGTTAGTATGGGCAAACATGACAACTTTATGCTCTTTCTTCTACAAAAATGCAACTTAAGCAGCTGCAGCTACTAAAATATTGAAATAAGCAAGAAAACAGAGCACCCCATGTAATCTGGGAGACTGAGATAGAATACTACCAACCATGTTAGGCATGAATACTTTGGGAAAAGCAGGGGAAGGAGAATATCTTGGTACTGCATGGAATCCACAGCATAGCTGTAGCAGAGACAAAGAAGCCATCATCCTTTTCATAAGAATTCAAAAGAGTGTTTTTCAGGAATTTGGGACTGGAACAGCTTCCACAATTCTCAGTTTTAAGTGCCTGCTCCAAGAGACTCAACAACCCAGATGCGTCTTCCCAGCAAGGCAGCTACTTGAGGCAATACTCAGATTCCACCGTGGCCTCTGAGCAGCAGTCTGCAGAAATACAAGACCCTCATCTCTATCTTCACCTCTAAAGATGTAATACAGTTTGTGACCTATCATTCAAAATATGCATTCCTTTTGATTAAATTATTATAAGGGTGAATCAGGTAAGCAGATTTACCCCCTGCAGCCTTTTTCCTGTAACTCACAGTCTAAATGGGTACACAGATGGATCATTTCAACATGTTTTCATCTGAAAGCAAAAATAGAGGTTTCACAAAGTAACATCCCAGCTTCAGAAAGTACAAGATTAGTTTAAAAAGTTAATGTTTTCTTCTCTTTTTACTGTACTCTTAAATCAAACATCCCGACACTAAATAAAATAGAAGGACACAGAAGGTCCTTTTCCATAAGCCTGGGAAATCTGAACAATTTTATAAAGAAACCAGCACTTTAAGAACAGTTAATAATATATGGCTTGATATCCTATCCTTCAAAGACCAAATTGTTTTGGAATTCCCACTAATAGAATTTAAAAATGAACACACGCTCTCCTCCCCCAGTCTTTTTTTACCATAATGAAGCAACCTTAGGCAGACAAGACAAAGTCCTAAGTCTAGAGAGTAGCAAATGACATTCTTGTAGCTCAGTTAGCACATGCCAAGCAGATATAGCCCAAATATTTTTAAAAATATACAAAGCTGTCAAACTGCAGGAGAGCTTGCTTCCTAAAATGGATTTAAACTAATCTTATAAAATGGGCAGCATTGTTTTTCCTAACTGATAGCTTCCCTAGAGGACTTAAGTGTCACATCCCAATCACTGGGCTGCCCTTCGAACAAACTGAAACAGATGCATCAAGCCCACTCCGTTCATTTCATTCATTCCTTTCCACCTACATTAAATTGTTTTGACAAGCCAGGACAAACAGCAAGGCTTCCCAGCACGTGACCTGCAGTTCTGCAGTGCCAGGGGCCTGAAAGGAGACAGGCAGCAAATGAAACAATTGTTCAGCTCAGAAGGATTCAATAAGCTTTTCTTGGCTGTTTCCATTTATCCGTGTACTTCCATTCTGATTTCTTTTGGTCAGGAAAGAACTATCAGAGGTGTTTACATTTTTCAATGTAAAACAGGGATCTTGGTTACTTATGATAAACCAGGTACAGGCTTACTCTTTCACTGATGTACTTCATGTACAGGAGCATGAATTACATGCAGAATTGTTACTACCCTCTTTCTATCACTGTACCTCCATGCCTTATATAAATGCAAAACAAACTAACCCAAAACCAAAACTACCCCCCACCTCTAAGATTAGCTATTGTACCGAGCCACAAAAAACAAAGCTCAGCAGCAAAAAATGCCCATATTCCCATGGTGGCTTTTTTCAGCCAAGGCTTAGTATCTATTCAGCATCCTTAATGATGTTTCTGGCACCTAAATTGATCTTAAATTTCAACTGGGTTACTCACACAGCTGTTGAGTCCAGTGAGTAGTTTCTCATATGTTTTCCTTTCTAACTTTCCCCAGTCCTTCAGAGTTCTGTCCTGTTAACATCCTGACAAGAAATCACACATCTGCAAAGCACATCTCCCTACCACAAGCGGTCAAAGAGCCCAGCTCAGACACCTAAAGCAGCAGAAGAGTCTCCTCAGCAAGGTATCATACTCTGCTTGTTTTGTTTGAGCTTGCTCTTCCTTCAGGCCAAGCTCAACCAAGGGTCCCACCTCTGCTGATCCTTTTTACTAACTGACCAAACGGCCTGAACTGAACTCTAGGACAATTCATCTGGCATTAAATGGACACAGTTATGTAGAAGCATCACTTTGCCCTCTAACACATGCTACAGGATACCAAGCAAGGGGATAACAAGAGAAATACTCTACATGGAAAGAACTGCATCTGCTAACTCCCGCTGTACATCCTCAAAGGCGATTTTCAATTTCTTAACATCGAGTACACTTAACACAGCCAAAGTGTTTCATGCACAACACAACAAACCAAACTTCCAATGATCTCCATCTTCTACAAATAAATAGACTCACGGGTGACAGAAGTTAACTTGAAACCATTTTTTTTAAGAAGTTCAGTGGGTGAGGTGCTACACAACTTAGAGCTGTTCCCTCTTTCACAATATTATGAAGATAACCAGTAGAGGAAAC